CTACCACACACCTGATTTTACCATTTTACCAATCTATTAATCTAGTTCTCTGCCTCTAGGGTTTGTTACTTCATAGGAACAAGCAAGATCTAAAAATAAAGTATGCATGGAGGAAGAAGAGTTCTCTTGACTTTTGCAAGCTGTCAGTTTATGCATTGCAAGATGAAATGTAGTTAGCATTGGATCATTATTGTGCCTTAACTGTTCTGTGGCTTTTTGTTTTGTTTTTTAAAAAAATGGACAATCTTGAGCTCTGCTGTTGATCTCTGATTGTTTACTACACGATCTGTGAGGGTCTGTGTTTTCTCTTGTAGCGCTCTCAGAACCACAAACATACAGGTTTTGCATAAAGTTGCTTTTTGTAGATCTTATTTCAATACTATAGAAAGAGCTGGTTGAAGACTTAAGCTTTATTTACTGTACCAGGATTATTTCTTTTTTTAAGTATGATGATTACTTCAGGTGATACTAGTTGTTTTGAACTGGTGCTGTTATGTAATGTAACCTTGCTAATCAACATTTTTGTTTGTTATGGACTTGTATTTCAACGCTTAATAAGTGTCATAGTGAGACACTATCAATTTATTTCCATAATTCATGTAAGTCAGCGTAGCTCAAAATGAGAAGTATTTCTTTCTCTTTACAAAACTTACCAGTTTTCTCATTGGGATTAAACATTTTAAAGTCACTGAACAACCACAGCTTCTCTTGATGCTATACTCAACAACTGGTAGGATTGAGTTGCATCACCTTTTCCTGTTTGAAGTGAAGGGGAAAACTCCTGCTGATTTCCAGGACAGGTGAGATTCAGGCTTGGAGTAACTCTCTGTGGATGCTTGTAGGTAGACTCAAACTCCTTTCTGCATGTTTCTAAGCTTTCAAGTCAGCTTCAGCTTGTGATTCTGGACAATTCTGCATGTGTTTTAAGATAATTAATTTATGAAGCATGGTTGTCATGGATTCTGATTTAGGATCCTGCTGACTATGCCAATTTGTCACAAATGAGTGATTTGAATTGCTCAAAGAATCACCATCAGAGGTATTGGCAAAAGTGGTTTTAATATGAATTTGTAAAAGTGTGATTTAACAAAGTTCAATGGCAAGGTTCACTCTTACTACATGGAAGAAACATACAAAGGAAAATCAAGTTAGAATCAAGCTAGAATGATTTACACAGAGACTGGAGATGAAAAGGGGTAAGGGAGACTCTTCTGTTGCATCAGGAGGTTCAGAATGGACCCCCTTGCTTTCTAAACTCCATCAGAAGCTTAGGTGTGGGTAGGTCCAATCTTAGTCTCAGACTTGGACAATGGTTTATGTCTAAAGGATTATATATGCAAAGTTTGTAATAATTGAGTAGCTACATGGAATACTAATGTTCTATTAGTATTAATTTGGAATACTATCAGTCACTTGCCGAGGATCTGTGGCAAACAAGGGGTCTCTCCTCCTTGGGTAAGGAAGGATCTCTCTGCCTTAGGTGAGGAATCTCAAACCTCGAGAGAGGTCCCTGCTCAAGGGGGGAGTCATCTGGAGTGCAGTCCAGTTGCAAGTTGGAGAGAGCTCGAATTGGGCTCATCCAAAGATCTGCCATCGGTAAAAGTTCTCTCTGCCTTGAGGAGGAACGTTGAGAAGTGATCCAGCTCAAGGGGAGAGCACTGCCATGCGGCCATGCTGCCTAGCAGGGAAAGCTCAAAGAAGGTGTTGAGAAGTGTTCCAGCTCAAGGGGAGAGCACTGCCATGCAGCCGTGCTGCCTAGCAGGGAAAGCTCAAAGAAGGCTCGCTTAGGCTGTTACATTTATGGGATAAAGCAGTTGGCTCATAGTCAAATTGCATACAATGTAAGACTCCTTGTAACCACAACTTTGTTCATTGACAAATGAGTCTTGGAAAAACCACCCTCTGTTCATGTGTTAATCGCATGATTGTTTTTCCAAGGTCATCGATGATCATTGGGTCACTGTTCCTCTGTGGGTTTCCTAGAGGAGTTCATGGCCTGGATACGGCTCAGGCCTTTACCTCCTTTGGAGCCTGTACCAAACTGTTGCTAGTTTGGTTGAGGGGTCAAGTGCATCTGTCACAATCATGCAGGTATGGCTTCTGGTCTGTGAGGGCTTTATTGTAATACTGCTTAGAGTATGTATTTGTATAAGGCTTTGCTTTTGAGTCTCGGAGAAACAGTGAGTAACAGATGGACTGGCCATGCAATACTGTACTAATGAGGCTAGCATAATCCTGCCAAAATGTCGTAAGTTTAGTAAGTATGAGGTGACACCACATCTGCATGATTCAGATAGAAAATGGGTGCCCAGATCAAGGTACAGGTGCACCTGGTATAGAAAGAGCTGTAAAGAAAGAAAAACAATAATGTATATGCATAGGATGTGGATTTGTGCTGGTGTGTTGTCATGGACATGCATGAACAAGCACATTGTCTCTAGCAGTGTGTTAGGGCACTTTGTAGACAACATGCCTAACCAAGCCTTTGATACTGAACTAAGCCTGAAATCCTTCTTTATGAGGCAAGATTAGCACTGGAGTGCCCAGACTGTGATCCCAGCAGCTCTGGTGCTGAAGTATCTACTGAGCTGACCACACATACACAGAAAGAGTGCCTAACAGCTAAAAGGACTCCAGGAACCAAACTTGCATCTGGCCAGCTTCCTCATAAGCAGAGCAGCATGGGTGCATCTAACTATAGAAGTACTGTTGTTGGGGCAGTTTACAATATATATATAATATGGAGGAAGAATAAAGAACCTGAAAAAGATTCACTGACTGATCAGGAGTCCCCTGGAACTATTCGAAGACTCGGAAAAAGAAGTTGCGGTTTTGTAAATCACAGTGGTTAAGCACCTTGGAAGGAGTAAATGATAAGTCCTCTCTATGCTCTCATTTGTGCTCTGGCTAGCAAATAATTATTGAATTGGGGGGTGGGGATGAGGTCAAGGAGAAAAAAAAAACAACTGAAGTAGTTCTCAAGAGACACTAAACACAAAATTCTCTTCTCCCAGTACTTGGTATTTAAACATTTTTATAAATCTTCTTATGCTGGTTTGATCCTGATTCTTAGGCATACTTATGGGACTGGACACCTCTTACATAGTTTTTAGATGACAGCAGCTCCTCCATGTTAATTGATGATCTGCTCAGTCCTGGATTCTGAGCACAGGCAGTGGCAGAACTGCAGATGTTGGAGCTCTGGCTTAATGCTGCTGGCCTGGTTCTTATTCTGATTGGAGTCACCTAGCATGGGACTTGGGTAGAATGCAGGTGTTCAAGCACAAGTTGTCATAAAAGGACTTAATCACGAATATAGCTTGAGTGGAGCCTTAACTGTAAATCCTGGGAGGTGTCTAATCCAAAAGTACCTTAATTCTGAAACTTCCATGGCACTCAGTGCCTCTGGAAGGGTGAAGAGCTGTTGATTATTCTGGACATTATTCTAGGTGTTTCTGTATTTTATTCACTTATCGTTTAGTTTGAAATATTTCTATATTTCTGTGTTTACCCTCTAACTGGTGGACTACAAATTTAACACTTTGGTACCCTAGATCCCTCAACCATAGATGTTCACTGAAGGAGTAGGCAATTCTGCAGGCACACGGACACATCAATACCAATGATAATCAGATAAATGACTTCTTTGTTCAAAGGGAGTGTTATAGCTCCTTTTCATGTGTGATAGCTCACACCCATAATAGCCTTAAGGACAAGACTTAATCTCTCAGATGAGGTCCCCTGTTATTAGGAGGATGTAGCAAAATTCTGCTGTATGCTTTACTAGAAAAGCTAGTGAACTTAAGTATAAGTTATAGAGTAAATCCAAGCCATCTGAGTCTTTCTCATCAGAAGAATGAACACATTGAAAAAAACACACGATAGCTCAGTTTAATGAGCTTTATAGGTGATAAATTAAAGAAATATTTTCTCAACTTAATTAGAATTACAAAATTCAAGAAACAGTAAGTTTTTGCTCTCTCAAGTATGTAATTTATAATACTTGCAGACATTTAAGCAACCCATTTTCTGATGTTAACAATGTGAAGGACAATTTTAAAAAAAAACAAACCAACAACAAACAAAACAACGCACCCCCTTGGAGAGTTCCTGGAATAAAAGCAGTTCAAAAAGAAGCAGCACTTAGTAGAGAGAGATTATAAAAATTTTTCTGCTCCCTTGTCCCCCAACACACTTAGGCTACTTTGACTTGAGATTTCTGCTGCACAGGAACAGCCATGACCCGGATGCTCCTGTGTCAGTCGTACCGCAGTGCTGTGTTCCTGGTAGTGTAGCAACCAGCATGGTATGTGTGGCATGTTACTGAGAACCGAGGTTGATACCGCATTGACAGATTTGGTAAACTGATAATAAGTTACCTGAAGCAAGCACAGCAGTGATCTAAGTAATGCTTGATGTTGTTGCAGGTACTGCTTCCCACTTTACTAATGCACCTTGCTCTCTTTCACAAAGCACCGAGATCTTTGATCAGTGCAGCAGATAGTTTGTTTTGGTTTTTAAAGGGCCTTTTAGCCAAAGATCTTAGAAGATCTGTGAGCTACTGTCAATTAAAGCTCCCCTACTGTGGGCTGGGTAACTAACATTATACCCAATTTATTACAAATGGCAAAACTGGGACAAAGAAATGAAGACTGTTACCTAAGTAGGCATATCAGTATATCTCATATCTCCTTTCCTACGTCTTGCAGCAGACTTGCATTTGAAAAGCCTTTAACTTATTCTAGGTAGTTTCATATATATTATATAAGTAATCCTACTACTTGGATCTGTTTTAATTTCCTTTCAGATAAGAGCTATTGTTCTCTTTGTTTTTTAAAAAATTACTGATTATAGGTTTTGCTGAAACTTTAACTACTGAGGGGCAAAAAAGTTTTAACTGGGCACAGCACTTGACTGCACTTAAATCAGTGTAATTATTGTGTTAGACAATTCAAATTTCCAGGCATTTGAACTAAAAGATCATTAAGATAACACAAGTGGGTTAAAGCTTATTTATCATCAATGTCAGCTGGCACAGGACCTAGGTGTAAGGCTGCTTGCGTTTTGGATCCTGAGCAATGCAAAGGGCAACACATTCCTCTGTTCTCTTCCAGCAGTACCTGGAAAAATAGAAAGAGAGATGATCCAATGTGTATGGGGGGGCAACCACACACTCAAACCAACAACTACAACATCGATGCTACTGAAAAGTAGGGGAAAACAAACAGGTTCTGATTATACCTATTCTCTTTCCATATTGGTATATCTTGTGATATCTCAGGGAATTAGTCTACCCCATCGCTAATACAAGCCAAACGTCATGACGTGGTGGGAAAGAATGTGTATCTACTTATGGATGAACCAAGGGGGAAAGCATCTATTCTGATCTTGGTGACATGAAGATTGGAACAGAATCACCTCAGCACAGATACTATTTTAATGAAATAAGTATCCATGAATTCAATAGTATTTTTCTTGTGGTCATCACTTTTGTATTAGCTGTTTCTGTGCCAGTTGCAGAGATGGCCAGAGATCAATCAGTGTGCAGCAGTGATGCATACAATCAGAGATGCCTGCTATACAGATCTGATAAACATCTTAATGCAATATGAACTGTGCTGGCAGATCTCTGCATGTGTATTGTGCCCTGATTTTGAAAACACATGCCTATTGATTGGATTGCAGGACTGGGAATTGACTTAAGATAAGTGATTTCACAGAGGCGATGGAAGTAATGGTGAAAGGAGGAGGTGGTTATGTGTTGGAATCGCAGGTGCAGAGAACAGTTCTGTGTACAGCTAGACAGTTTCAGCTCTTTCAGCAAATGTTTTCAGTGCTTGACAAAAGGTACAAATGTCAGTGCTACTACTTATTAGATTTTTCCTGTAGGAAAGAAGGCCATTTTTATTGTCTGCCTATAATCTGCTGCATTGCATTACCAGTGCATTTTCATCATCCTTCATCTTCTTCATGGTGGGCAGTTTATCAGCTTATGGCACCCTTCACAAGAGTTGGCAAGTACTTTCCCTTTTTGTTCTTGCTGGGAACTATTTTCACTGTTTTTTCCTTTACCTGTATCATGTGTGTCATGATTATGAAACAGCCATATGCATCCTACTCCAGGAAGACAGCTGTGTTCTTAGTCTGAACCCCAAATCTTGGTGCATTGATGTTGATTAAGCCTGGTCTGAAGCTTAGAGGATCTGCTGTGATTGCCGATTGGTGTATTCATGCTATCTACCTTTGTGCGTGGTCTTTTGCATGCTGCTTTTTCTTGGTAGTGCTTATCTTTTTTTATGTCATGTCTGCCTCCCCCTCCCCTCCAATCATAAAATGTGAACTAGAATGAATGTCTGGCTTTGTCTCCTCCTGAAGACACTTCTGCCCTGAGGAATAATGGAGGCTGTTGCAAATCCTGCATTCACAGATGCTGTGTTTCTGCACCAGCTGGTGCGCTGATGCCCAGCCTGGTGTGGATGAAATAAACTGAATTTATGTTGGTGGAAGCTGGGAAATCATGCATTGAACCACTGTTCACCTCTACTCACATAGACTTGGCTCGGATAAGCAGGCTGTCACCAGCAGATAGAGTCAGGGTTTTACCATCCGTGGTAACAGTTGATGTGCCCTCCTGAAGGGAAAGAACAGATAATCAGCTTTTAATTTTCCATGTCCTGTCACTAGCAGAAAGTAAGTGCTGCAGCTAAGTATGGAAATCTTTCCCACTGAAAAAGCACTTCAAACCTGCTCTGTTTCATGAGGCCTAGCTAAATATTCAGCTGATCTTCCCTGTCTGACATTATTAGCATCAATGAAAACATGCTTCATGGTTCATAGTTGCCTATCATAAAGCAGCAACCCATTGCCTGACTCTTGAGGGTACACTGCTACCAATCTAACCAAGTAGCCTGCAAGTTGATACAGCTCTGGAAATTGGAGATAACCTCCTGAAGTACTTCAAGCTCTTCTACTTTTTTGATTCCAATTATCTTTTTAACTCTTGAAAAGCAGTTCAGAAGTCAGGGAGCTGACAAATTGCTGACAGGAGTCTGTCCACACTGGAATGGACTAGTCATTATCGTGTCCAGCAGAGGAGCCAGGTTCTTGCCAGCAACAAGGGCTTGATTACATAGGCTGTTGTAAGCTGCAGTGTAAACAAATGTCTTTCAAGATTATTATGTCTTTGATTAGTTATTTGATAGTCCCATGTGAATTTCAACAGAATAAGAACCGATAGAAATATCTGCCTTCCAAGCTAGGTGACTTGTGTAAATGAAAACTAGCTTTTCTCTCTTTTTTCCCTTGGGCTGCAAGTGTTTCATAGAAGCCAGCTGAATGAAGGGCATCTGGATCACCTACCACTGTCCTTTAGCATAAACAAGTTCTTAGATTTCTATTAGCTTTAGTCTACCTGATTCGAGTTTGACTTCAGTATGAGAACAAATGCTTCAAGGCAGAAGTAATAGGTGATGCTTTTTTTTATAACTTGGAGGCATTCTGATGTATTTACAGGCTATACCCTATGTAGAGTATGTTAAAATCCCCACCAAGTCCTGATGAAGTATACCAGTATTTCTGTCCTCAACATACAAGATAAGAATATTTTTAGGGTGGCAGTAGTTTACAGTTATTTTTCATCATAGTTTAAAGCTGAAGGGTAGTGTCTGTTGATGGTCTTTTCTATGAGAAAGAAAGTAATCATTTTCATTTCTGTTGCTGGTGGTAGAAGGCTTTACTACTGTTCAGTCTGCTCTGAATCGAAACATGAACTCATTGGTTAACAAGTATGAATTGTCACATACCAACTGCCATATCCAGATATCTGAATTCTTTTTACTTTTCTCAGTTGTTCCTGGCCCATAAGCTATAACCTTAAAAAAAAAAAAACCAAAAAAACCAGAAGAAAAGTAACAGATTCATCCCAGTGACCAAAGTGTACATATTCATCTTCCTACAGCATTTAAAACATTCTATTTTTACAGAAAAATCTTCATAGAAGATGATGCTATTTTTACAGACATTAAAATTCACATTATGTTTGGTATTCTCATATTGATTCCTACCGATAAAAAGGGAACCGATCACACCTGCCACTCCTTATGCTCCTTTGCATCCTCACTTATCTATTCCTTCTGCCTCCTCCCACTCTCAGCTTTGCATCTATATCCTTCCTGCATCTGTTCTTGGAACAGGCACTTCCTCCTCATGAACTCTGGGCCCTGTCAAGAGCCTGTTGAAGTAGAAAAGAGTCTTCTATTAGCATTAAAAATGCTGCAGAGTGGACCTTATTTTCCTTGTTATCTGCCCTTTCTGTGTTCTTCCTGACAGTCCCACACTCTATCACTTTGCTGTCAAAGGTATTGGATTCTTCAGAGTGTGACTCCAGGTAACACAGGGAAAGAATATGTTTTGTAAACTGTCATGCATATAGCACAGATATCAAATGGTGACAGCTTCATTTACACTCAAACTAGACTGTGTTTGACTAAACAGAGAAGTGCAATGCTTTCGCACAGCCCAGGCTCTCTGGTGCTGTCCAGTTTTCCTTGTTTCCACTTTGTGTAGATAGAGGGGGCATGAAGAAAAGCATATTTACACACTCAGATTAGATTTAGCACCAAGAATTCTGTTCAAACACATAAGGAAGCCAAACACGTTTGTGAGTAGTATTTGCATCATGCTGGTGTTTCTGATTTGGGAAATATGGCAGGGTAGGGGATTGGAGTGAGTGAGCTGTTTTAATCCCAAAGGAAATCAATGGAAATAAGGTTCAAGGTTGATTCCGTGAATGGATGCGTCTGAGCTAGGAAGCCCCTGTCCTAAGCTAGTCAAATCAATGGGTGAAGGGCAGGGCAGGCTAAGACCGAGTTGTTCTGTGGGAGTGCATAACTTTCTCTGCTGACTACGTATTTTTGCCAGGCCTGGATTCACTCGGTCTGAACAGGAGACACCTATTATCTGTACCTTTAAAAATATCCCTCTTTCAGAGAAATTAGACCCCCTTACCTCTGTTTCAAAGTTATCGCCAAACATACTCAAGGATTTCTTTTGTTTTATTTCACCACGATGATCATTTAACCAGCCTGGGAAGGAAAATGGCTTCATAACGGAAGTGGAATTTAGTGGGAAAGGTGTTTCTTTCAGGAGTTCATCTGTAAGCAAGGCAGAGGACTATCAGTGACACCTGCTTCCCTTGATCTTTGCAAACATTTTACTGTAGTTTATAGCTTGAAGCATTCAATTTGCAGACATTATCTAGTTAAAAGTCAGTTGTAACAGTAAACAGTGCTATGGTCATTATCAGGACTTCTTACTTGAGGTTGTAAGACGCATGTACTATTTGTGCGTCTTTATGGAGTTGCTTCTTCAAAGCTGTTGTCAGAAGTGTTGTGCATCCATGCTTGTGAAAAATGCATTTAAACAGTATGCAATAGACTACCTAGTTCTTGCTGGCAGATTCTTCGTTCTCTTTCAGATCAGCTCTTACACTAGTGAAATGTGATGTATCATCTCTGAGGCTTTGCTGAGTTACCCCTTACACATCCCCATATAAGTAGAATTAGGCCCATAGAACCAGCTTACTCTACATCTTTCACATAGTTAGTACTGGCTTCTATGTTTCTTCTCCCCTATGTGTTTTTAAATACACTGACCACAGTGAAACACACAGGTTATCACAACCTGAAACTTCATAAAATGCCTTTTTTGTGGTGTTCATGGAGATTTAGCTGGATTTAATTTCCAGTAATTCTCCTTCGTAACTGACTTGATTTCAAATAGCTGGAGGACCAAATGCAGTTTTAGTGTAGCTGGTGAAATTCAAGATCTATGCTGTGCGTTGCTGGTATATGAAATGGACTTTAGTTATTTACCAACTCACGGTGAAGCACAGAGACAGCGCAATCGCCTTGGTGATCCTAAGTAGCTTGTTCTGAGATGCCATGGGGGAATGCCCATAGAGTATTTTCAAGTAATAATACCAACTAGATGCTGGAAAAACTCACTAGATGGCTGTCTCCCTAATCCATTGAGGTAATAAACTCGCAGCCAAAACTTGGTCTCGGTACCAGTAATAGAGTAGGTCTTTTTAAAGTATTAGTGTATTCATTATGCAGTGTTTTTCTGGTTCTTTTCTAAAGCTGTATTTCACTGCTTTGCAGTGTTTGGAATGTATCATTCCAGGTTTTCCTGGAAGGTCATTTTGCATGCGGTCTTTGAACAGTATGTTAGAAAGTCAGTGCATCCAAGGGATAGCAGTGTACTGAATAAGCTACTGCTGTTTAACAGATCATAATGAGCACTGAATATCTGCGTCCATCTCCAGACAATCTGGATGGGATGATAACACTTTTATTGTAGAAACAGGTTTTGCCATTCAAATTTCTTCTCTGTTATATTAAATTAAACGGAAGAAGTCAGTATGGTTCTGCAAATGATTTGTCTCAGCAATGCCTCCTTCAGGAAATACTGAAAATATGAAGCAATCTGCAGCAAAAGAAGGATTTTTGTTTGTTTGTTTGAAAGCTTTTTCCTTCAAGAATTTTTTTTTTAAAAAAAACTTCCTACTTTTACATTATTTAACTCAAAAACTTAACACACTCTTATTGAAAAGCAAATTCCTCCAGAGAAATTAAGAAGCACCAGAAGGAAAAAGAAAATCTTTACATTAGATTTGTTCTAATCTGGGCCTGGAAACATTAACAAGTTCTAGTCTGAACATTCTGTATTTTATTGTTTGATAACACTACAAAGCAGTGTTAAGGTCACTGGTGATTTATTTTCACAGTGCAATATATCTGGTTGGTTTTGTTCATGTGTTTTTTCTTAATTTTCGCAGGTTCATTGAACTTGCTTTGGATATAATTAGGAATACTTATACACTTTGTCCTTAAGTTATGGATGTGCTCAACTATAGCTGTATTGGAAAGTTGTTTGTTGGTTCGTGTGAGATACAAAATAAAGGTTTAAAATATTATGATATATATTCACACACAGTAGAGGAGAAGAAAAAATAAGACATTTTATCAGAAGGTACTTAGTGCAATTAGTATTTCAATAGATTTTAAAAATTATTTTGTTTCCTTAATAGTAGCAATCTTTACCTTCTAAAGTAATATAAATATGATAGAGGTTTTTTTCTGTTATCAGAATAAAACAGGTCACTCTTGAATCTAGAAAAGCCTTTTGGCATATAAGAAATTTACCCATTGGTAGGGCTTTCTACTAAAATGCGTGTCCTAGCTGAGATAGTTGAAAAAAAAAATAGTCTATAGCACCTGCTAGTGTAAGAGACAAATACTGAGATGCCATGAGTATCCTGCTCAGCTCAAGGGGATACATATTCTCCACAGGTCAAGAATTCTAGCATCAAGCTAATAAGTTCAGACTTCATATGCTGGAGAATAGATAGCAAAAAGCCGAGTCTCTAGGGTGGGCACTGTGGTGCTTTAGGCAAGCAGAACTTTGAATGTTCTCCATGAGTTGCAAGGAATTCAGGGTACAAAAAAGCCAAAGTACTTGTTTGTTCTGACCAAGAAGCAACACAAATCTAACAAATGGGAAGTAACTATAAACTTTCAAGTTTGTAGCTTAACTTCTGTCATTTATTCCTCTCAAATATAATTTTGCTACTTTTCCTCTTTCTAGTGATCTCTGACTCCAGCTGTGCTGATCAAAAGGGACAGCATGTGCAGGACAACAGTAAGCAGTGACCTGTGCATACTTAGGGCCAATGTAAAGTGTGATACATCCTGCGCTTACTATAGAGCATTGTCCTTTCTTGCTTATGATGTACAGGTACTTTCTAGCAGTTTCATTTACTTTCAAGTAAAGGTGGACTTTTTTTTTTATTTAGATCAAGTTCTTCAGGACAAGAGCTGTCTTTTGATGCTTGTCTTGTCAGCAATCCCTGGTCTGTGATGGGGCTTTAGCTTATTAGTTTTGATGTTAACGACACTTGCCCAGTGATAGCATAATGGCCTTTGAAAACTGAGTCTGCATGAAATGAACCTTTGGTGTGATCCAGTGTGATGATTTGACTACTTGTTACTGCAGAACAAATAAGAGAGCACTGTGATGATGAAGTACATGACACATGTCTGACATTATTCATAGCCTACTTGACTGAGTCCTTATTTAACCCTGATACTTACCCCTTGCATGATGCTGAAAGCTGCAGGTGCCCTAGCGCTTGTGAACATGAACTAATGAAGTATGATGAGGAGGATCCGATATTTTACAATCCCACACATATCAGAGTTGAAGCCTGGTGCTTCCAAAGGAACTGAGTGTTTCTTAGCAGGCTAATGGCTTATAATTAGTTATTGTTGCATATATTTCTGTTTAGCCTGTACATTAGCTTTCAACAATATGTCAGGAAGTGTGAGTTGGTGTGTTTCCAGAGTTCTTATATTCTAGTAATACTGTGAGACAAGGAGACAACATGTTTAATGATGGTAATGATAAAAATAAGCCAGCAAAATGCAAGAAGACAGGAATTCTAACCTAGTCAGCTCGATGTCTTGTGTATGTATCTCCAAGTAATGTATCACTAAGTGGAACATCAAATCTAATATTTTCTTACATGTTCAGAAGATCCATTTAAATAGTTCAATAGTAAAGTCTGGTTTTGTAGATCATTATTATTAAATATTCACATCACAGCAATATGTTCTTTATGGGGTTTATAGCTCTCTTCACCTTTGAATTAGAATGTGATGATATCATGTTAAGCTGAAAAATACATCATGTTTACCAAATGAGTTTGTAAATATTTTAAAAAGCAAATTACAGGTTTTAGAGGAAGTTGATTTCAGTTAAACAATAGACAGTGTACTGAAAATATGAAGCTGTGCAAAAATGGAGAGAACAACTTGCAAGAAAACAGCCAGTGAATGTACATGTAGTTACAGCCTCAACAGAGACCATCTAAGGAAGAGTTTGAACTTTCTGGGAGTACTGTACTTCTGATACTAATAGAGAAGACAAGTAAAAGGGGACTGCCACTGTCCTACCAGGTATATATGGCTGTATTTGCTTACCCCAAACTTGCATGTTATATGGAAGCTCCCCCTTCCCTACCCCAGTGACGTGCCTAAGCTTTCTTGTCAAGAAATCAGTCCATCTCATTCTCCCAGAGTATTTCTTGAGCCCTACTATTACCAAACTCTTCCTATGGCTCTCTTGCAAACCTTGTCTCTTTGAGATTTGTTGCAAAAGAAAAGAGCAATAAAGCACGTGAAATACAATATATTGGAATAGTGTCAACTACCAAACTGATTACATGTTGGCTTTATGAAAAAACTGTTTTTCAGTACTTCACTTCTAGGCAGCACAATCTAGATGGAACAATCCTCAAATCTTTAAATCACCTTATATGTTCTTACTAATTATGAAAGCTCCTCCATCCCAAGTCACTGTGCTGTCTCAGAAACAGTCTGTCCCTGCATGCTGTGGGTCCATCTCCATGCAAGGACGTGAGAAAGTCCCTTACAAATAGTGTGTCCCTCTGTAAAAGTAAAGACATCCTTATCCAAAGTTGAGCAGTTAGATCCTCTTTGTTTAGGTATCCTTTAACTGGGTCTAAAATGGTCCAGACTAGAGATAAAGAGCTTGCAAGTTATTTCAGAATTATATATTCATTTATTTCTGTCTGTTTTCTAATCATTCCTTCCATCTCTTCAAGAATACTATATCATAAGGAATAGCTATGATGTGACAGTTCTGCAGCATTTCACATTTAATTGCCAATGCCTGCAATAATACATACCCTGGGATGTTTTTCCCGTATGTGCCTACCTAATTCCTATGAAAAGTCTGCTTTATTCTCCATGCTAACAGAAATGTCAGTGAGACTAGTAGGAGTTTAATACCTCTCCAAATAAAACCTGTGGACTGAGGGACATAATTTCAGGCATCTAGGTTTGAAAAAACAAGTAGTTAGCTCATTTGATATAAAAATCCAGAGTGAAAGCACTGAAGGTGACTGATTACTTTGGAGGTAGTTGGTTCATTTCACTGTTGTTGAGTTGAGGAAACATTTAGCTGAAAATACAGCACTCACTTGGTGTAATCATACATTTCCCTGTGTAACTGTGTTTGTAGCATGCCCTGAGAATTGGCATGACTGCTAATTTATGACTTGTCCCTGTAA